GGTTCATGTCAGTCTGTGGATAATGGTAAGGTCATGCAGTCTGGGGAATGGTAAGGTCATGCATTCTGGGGAATGGTAAGGTCATGCAGTCTGGGGAATGGTAAGGTCATGCAGTCTGGAGAATGGTAAGGTCATGCAGTGCTGGGGGTAGTGGTAAGGTCATGCAGTTGGGGATGTATAGGGGTCCATGCAGTCATGGTGAATTGTAAGGTCATGCAGTTGGGAATGGTACTTAAGTCATGCCAGTTGGGGAATGGTAAGGACCATGCAGCTGGGGAATGGCTAAGGTCATACTGTCCGGAGAATGGTAGGTATGCAGTTCTGGGGAATGGTAAGGTCATGCAGTCTGGGAAATGGTAAGGTTATGCAGTCTGAATGTAATGGTCATTGCAGTCTGTGGGTTAAATGGTAAGGTCATGCAAGTATGGGGAATGAGTAAGGTTCATGCAGTCTGGGGGGGGGGGGAATGGGTAGGTCATGCAGTCTGGAGAATGGTAAGGGTCATGCAGGTCTGGGGAGTGCGTAAGGTCATGCCGTCTGGGGAATGGTAGGGTCTTTGGCAGTTGGAGAATTGGAAGGTCATGGAGTCTGGAATGGTAAGTCATGCTAGTTTAGGGAATGTAAGGTCTTGCAGTCTAGGGAAATGGTAAGGTCATGCAGTCTGGGGAATGGTAAGGTCAGGCATTCTGGGGAATAATGGTAAGGTCATGCAGTCTGGGGAATGGTAAGGTCATACAGTCTGGTGAATGGTAAGGTCATGCAGTCTAGGGAATGGTAAGGTCATGCAGTCTGGGGAATGGTAAGGTCATGCAGTCTGGAGAATGGTAAGGTCATGCAGTCTGGGAATTGGTCCTCTAAGGTCAATGCAGTCTAGGGAATGGTAAGGTCATGCAGTCTGGAGAATGGTAAGGTCATGCAGTCTGGAGAATGGTAAGGTCATGCAGTCTGGGGAATGGTAAGGTCATGCAGTCTGGAATGGTAAGTCATGCAGTCGGGAGTATTGAATGGTTAGGTATGCAGTCTGGGGATTGGTATGGTCATGCAGCTAGGGAATGGTAGGTCATGCAAGTCTGGAGAATGGATAAGGTCATTGCCAGTCTGAGAGGTTAAGGTCATGCGTCAGGAGATGGTAAGGGTCATGCCAGTCTGGAGAATGGTAAAGGGTCATGCAGTCTGGGGAATGGGAGGAAGCGAGGGTTAACTGAAGGAGGAGGTTAGTGTCAATTCATGCCACCAAGATCAAGGTCGCTCCTGCTATTATACAAAAGTTTGCCAGATACCAAGTTAAAGACGTCTGTATTATAAAAAAAAACAACGTTTCGCCCAGTGAGATCTTTATCCATATTCCCCTTGACGAAGCCACATAGTTTTAGCTCTGTGTGCATGAACGTCCTACGTGTAAGATCACTGCATCACCTTTCATTCAGTCTGAGGCGCAGTTGAAGCCTCACCACTAAGCCAGGCTGCCTTCTCACACTACATGTCACCACTAAGCCAGGCTGCCTTCTCACACTACATGTCACCACTAAGCCAGGCTGCCTTCTCACACTACATGTCACCACTAAGCCAGGCTGCCTTCTCACACTACATTCACCACTAAGCAAGGCTGCCTTCTCACACTACCCTGTCACCACTAAGCCAGGCTTTCCTTTTCACACTACATTTTCACCACTAACCAGGCGCCTTCTCACACTACATGTCACCACTAAGCCAGGCTGCCTTCTCACACTACATGTCACCACTAAGCCAGGCTGCCTTCTCACACTACATGTCACCACTAAGCAAGGCTGCCTTCTCACACTACAAGTCACCACTAAGCAAGGCTGCCTTCTCACACTACCCTGTCCCACTAAGCCCGGCTGCCTTCTCACACTACTGTCACCACTAACAAGGCTGCCTTCTCACACTACATGTCACCACTAAGCAAGGCTGCCTTCTCACACTACATGTCACCACTAAGCAAGGCTGCCTTCTCACACTACATGTCACCAAAATAAGCAAGGCTGCCCCTTCTCACACTACAAGTCACCACTAAGCAAAAGGGTGGCCTTTCTCACACTACATGTCACCACTAAGCCAGGCTGCCTTCTCACACTACATGTCACCACTAAGCCAGGCTGCCTTCTCACACTACATGTCACCACTAAGCAAGGCTGCCTTCTCACACTACATGTCACCCCCTAAGCAAGGCTGCCTTCTCACACTACATGTCACCACTAAGCAAGGCTGCCTTCTCACACTACATTCACCACTAAGCCAGGCTGCCTTTTTCACACTACATGTCACCACTAAGCAAGGCTGCCTTCTCACACTACATGTCACCACTAAGCAAGGCTGCCTTCTCACACTACATGTCACCACTAAGCAAGGCTGCCTTCTCACACTACATGTCACCACTAAGCAAGGCTGCCTTCTCACACTACATGTCACCACTAAGCAAGGCTGCCTTCCCCGCACTACATGTCACCACTAAGCAAGGCTGCCTTCTCACACTACATGTCACCACTAAGCAAGGCTGCCTTCTCACACTACATGTCACCACTAAGCCAGGCTGCCTTCTCACACTACATGTCACCACTAAGCAAGGCTGCCTTCTCACACTACATGTCACCACTAAGCAAGGCTGCCTTCTCACACTAAAATGTCACCACTAACAAGGCTGCCTTCTCACACTACATGTCCCACTAAGCAAGGCTGCCTTTTCACACTACATGTCACCACTAAGCAAGGCTTGGGCCTTCTCACACTACATGTCACCACTAAGCCAGGCGCCTTTCTCACACTACATGTCACCACTAAGCAAGGCTGCCTTCTCACACTACATGTCACCACTAAGCAAGGCTGCCTTCTCACACTACATGTCACCACTAAGCAAGGCTGCCTTCTCACACTACATGTCACCACTAAGCCAGGCTGCCTTCTCACACTACATGTCACCACTAAGCCAGGCTGCCTTCTCACACTACATGTCACCACTAAGCAAGGGTGCCTTCTCAACACTACCTGTCACCACTAAAACAAGGCTGCCTTCTCACACTACAAAGTCACCACTAAGCAAGGCTGCCTTCTCACACTACATGTCACCACTAAACAAGGCTGCCTTCTCACACTACATGTCCAAACCCCCTAGCCAGGGTGCCTTCTCACACTACATGTCACCACTAACCAGGCTGCCTTCTCACACTACATGTCACCCCACTAAGCCAGGCGCCTTCTCACACTACATGTCACCACTAAGCCAGGCTGCCTTCTCACACTATGTTTACCACTAAGCAAGGCTGCCTTCTCACACTACATGTCACCACTAAGCCAGGCTGCCTTCTCACACTACATGTCACCACTAAGCAAGGCTGCCTTCTCACACTACATGTCACCACTAAGCCAGGCTGCCTTCTCACACTACATGTCACCACTAAGCCAGGCTGCCTTCTCACACTACATGTCACCACTAAGCAAGGCTGCCTTCTCACACTACATGTCACCACTAAGCCAGGCTGCCTTCTCACACTACATGTCACCACTAAGCAAGGCTGCCTTCTCACACTACATGTCACCACTAAGCAAGGCTGCCTTCTCACACTACATGTCACCACTAAGCAAGGCGCCTTCTCACACACATGTCACCACCTAGCAAGGCTGCCTTCTCACACTACATGTCACCACTAAGCAAGGCTGCCTTCTCACACTACATGTCTTCAACATTTCCAAGTGTCCAGAACCGGATGTGATAGACATTATAGAGAAAGTTCCTTGGCTCGGCACTCAGTGCTTTTCTTGTGACTCCAGGAGATCAAAGAAGACCTTATGCATTAAACACTCATAATAATAATAATAATAATAATAATAATAATAATAATAATAATAATAATAATAATAATAATAATAATCTTTATTTCTACAAGTAGTTGATACAACTTATACAGAACATAGGTAACACCTATGACATGCTCAGAAAGCCCCTTGTAATACATTTCGGGCAAATTAGGTTAACTGTGTCCCCAGGATGCGACCCACATCAGTCGGCTAACACCCAGGTACCTATTTACTGCTAGGTGAACAGGGACAGCAGGTGTTTTAAGGAAACACGCCCAATGTTTCCATGTCAGCTCCTGACACTGGTGATTATTATATATATCACAGACTGCCGTCACCTGGTCCAGGGCAACACAGGCGCTGCCATCCCTCAACATTCCTGCAAGGATTCTCACTCCTACTTCCCTGCTGCTCCCCTCCTCTTCCTTGCCCCTCCCCTCCTCTTCCTTGCCCATCCCCTCCTCTTCCTTGCCCATCTCCTCCTCTTCCTTGCCCCTCCCCTCCTCTTCCTTGCCCCTCCCGTCCTCTTTCTTGCTCCGTCCCTCCCTCCCTGTCTCTCTCACCCCGTCAGCACTAGTGGCCCAGTGACCGAGTCTTCCGGGTTGGTTGCTTCTCCAACACTGGATATGATCGTATGGAAACTCTTCATTTTCAAAATATTTCGATGCATCACAAAAGCCAAATTTCTCGTCCTTGGTAGCGCAGTTTCAAATATAAATTTAGCTGTACTTTAATTTTGTCGAGTGTAATGATAGGAAACGAAATGTTTATGTGGGTAGAGGATTAATCAAGATTAAACGAATGCTGAGTGTGCTAAATGTTTAGATGTTGGGGCAGGGGAAGAGGGGGTAGGGTAGAGGAAGTGGTGGTTGGGCAGGGGAAGAGGTGGTAGGGGAGGAAAGAGGTGGATGTGATGTGGCTTCCTGTAAGGTCAGGAAGGGGGCTGAAAGACCTTCCTGCTTTCCAGATAGAGAAATTTAAGTCCGATTGTAAATTGTGTTACAGTCAATGTACATTGTGTCAAAGCTACCACCTCCGTTATTACCTGTGAAGGAGAGTAGCACTTGATGAGGATTACTGACCACCCTGGTCGTGGGGGTTGCAGACGCTGGAGGTAGCTGGAGGCGGTGGTCAGCCGGGAGTAGGTCAAGCAGGTGGGAGGGGAGGTGTATTGGGAGCTTGGCTCCCACTTCACTGCCAGTAGCAAACAAACAGCGGCCCTGAAAGAACGTTGCAAAGTGAGTTGCCTTGGTGTTATGCTGCGGTTATTACACCTCAGCTCACTCTTGTTATTACTCGTGGCAGACTGAGCCACCTTAAGATACATTCCGGACTCAGGACTCCACTTCTACAAGAACACGCTAGTTACACAATCCAACTGTTTGTCCTTCGTGTTACAAAGGAATTATTTGCCTAATGCTGTTAACAAAACCTGTTTTTGAGTGTCAAGATCCCCCCAGTAAGCAGAGTCATGGTTCCTCAAGGTCGTACTCAATGTTCCATCTCGTAGTGGTAAACACATTTATATTATTATTTGTATAACGTATTTATGAGTATGCAGATTTGTGAGTCTTTTATGGGGATGGCATAAGAGTGTTGTGCCAGATATGTGGTTTTATATTCTCGCCAACAAATTAAACACAGAAGAGGAGTCTCCTGATTATATAAGATATTAGTCCCAATTTCTGAAACGATAGCGTAGTAAAGTGAGAGATGTCTGTTAATAAAACACAACATCCGCCTCATGGAATTTTATTGAGAAAATATTGCATCCAAAAGGAATTTTATCAATTCTAGTGAGGAATGATAAAGTCCCTGGTGAATGAAGCTTTTTTCTCAATAAAATTCCATAAGCCGTATGTTGTGTTATTAACACATCTGTCGGTATATAATACCGCAGTGATATAGTGAGGCGTCTGTGTGGAGACTTCAATGCTGTGGCAGGATAGTGATCCGCCCTCCATCAACCAGGCTCCCTCCCTCCCTCCATCAACCAGGCTCCCTCCCTCCCTCCCTCCATCAACCAGGCTCTCTCCCTCCCTCCCTCCATCAACCAGGCTCTGTCCCTCCCTCCCTCCATCAACCAGGCTCCCCTCCCTCCTCCCTCCATCAACCAGGCTCCCTCCCTCCCGCCATCAACCAGTGTGTACCAAACATCAACAAACACAAAATACCTCAAGTGTTCACTTATGTTCTACATTATCATTTACATGTCCATCCTAATGCAATGGCAACTTAAATAATATATATATTATATATATAATATATTATATATATATATATATATATATATATATATATATATATATATATATAATATATAAATACTATGGATGGATGAAAGCATAAGTGACCTTGCTCAGATACTTTCCATAAGTTATGTACATAAAGTCTCAGACAATATTTACATATATAAACACTAGGTTGCGTCACATTGGGAGGTGTGGAGGCTCCTTGTTACACTAGGTTACGTCACATTGGGAGGTGTGGAGGCTCCTTGTTACACTAGGTTACGTCACACTGGGAGGTGTGGAGGCTCCTTGTTACACTAGGTTACGTCACACTGGGAGGTGTGGAGGCTCCTTGTTACACTAGGTTACGTCACACTGGGAGGTGTGGAGGCTCCTTGTTACACTAGGTTACGTCACACTGGGAGGTGTGGAGGCTCCTTGTTACACTAGTTGCGTCACACTGGGAGGTGTGGAGGCTCCTTGTTACACTAGGTTACGTCACACTGGGAGGTGTGGAGGCTCCTTGTTACACTAGGTTACGTCACACTGGGAGGTGTGGAGGCTCCTTGTTACACTAGGTTACGTCACACTGGGAGGTGTGGAGGCTCCTTGTTACACTAGGTTGCGTCACACTGGGAGGTGTGGAGGCTCCTTGTTACACTAGGTTGCGTCACACTGGGAGGTGTGGAGGCTCCTTGTTACACTAGGTTGCGTCACACTGGGAGGTGTGGAGGCTCCTTGTTACACTAGGTTGCGTCACATTGGGAGGTGTGGAGGCTCCTTGTTACACTAGGTTGCGTCACACTGGGAGGTGTGGAGGCTCCTTGTTACACTAGGTTGCGTCACACTGGGAGGTGTGGAGGCTCCTTGTTACACTAGGTTGCGTCACATTGGGAGGTGTGGAGGCTCCTTGTTACACTAGGTTACGTCACACTGGGAGGTGTGGAGGCTCCTTGTTACACTAGGTTACGTCACACTGGGAGGTGTGGAGGCTCCTTGTTACACTAGGTTGCGTCACACTGGGAGGTGTGGAGGCTCCTTGTTACACTAGGTTACGTCACACTGGGAGGTGTGGAGGCTCCTTGTTACACTAGGTTGCGTCACACTGGGAGGTGTGGAGGCTCCTTGTTACACTAGGTTACGTCACACTGGGAGGTGTGGAGGCTCCTTGTTACACTAGGTTGCGTCACATTGGGAGGTGTGGAGGCTCCTTGTTACACTAGGTTACGTCACACTGGGAGGTGTGGAGGCTCCTTGTTACACTAGGTTACGTCACACTGGGAGGTGTGGAGGCTCCTTGTTTTCACTAGGTTGCGTCACACTGGGAGATGTGGAGGCTCCTTGTTACACTAGGTTACGTCACACTGGGAGGTGTGGAGGCTCCTTGTTACACTAGGTTGCGTCACACTGGGAGGTGTGGAGGCTCCTTGTTACACTAGGTTACGTCACACTGGGAGGTGTGGAGGCTCCTTGTTACACTAGGTTGTGTCACACTGGGAGGTGTGGAGGCTCCTTGTTACACTAGGTTGCGTCACACTGGGAGGTGTGGAGGCTCCTTGTTACACTAGGTTACGTCACACTGGGAGGTGTGGAGGCTCCTTGTTACACTAGGTTGCGTCACACTGGGAGGTGTGGAGGCTCCTTGTTACACTAGGTTGCGTCACACTGGGAGGTGTGGAGGCTCCTTGTTACACTAGGTTACGTCACACTGGGAGGTGTGGAGGCTCCTTGTTACACTAGGTTACGTCACACTGGGAGGTGTGGAGGCTCCTTGTTACACTAGGTTGTGTCACACTGGGAGGTGTGGAGGCTCCTTGTTACACTAGGTTGCGTCACACTGGGGGGTGTGGAGGCTCCTTGTTACACTAGGTTGCGTCACACTGGGAGGTGTGGAGGCTCCTTGTTACACTAGGTTACGTCACACTGGGAGGTGTGGAGGCTCCTTGTTACACTAGGTTGCGTCACACTGGGAGGTGTGGAGGCTCCTTGTTACACTAGGTTGCGTCACACTGGGAGGTGTGGAGGCTCCTTGTTACACTAGGTTACGTCACACTGGGAGGTGTGGAGGCTCCTTGTTACACTAGGTTACGTCACACTGGGAGGTGTGGAGGCTCCTTGTTACACTAGGTTGCGTCACACTGGGAGGTGTGGAGGCTCCTTGTTACACTAGGTTACGTCACACTGGGAGGTGTGGAGGCTCCTTGTTACACTAGGTTACGTCACACTGGGAGGTGTGGAGGCTCCTTGTTACACTAGGTTACGTCACACTGGGAGGTGTGGAGGCTCCTTGTTACACTAGGTTACGTCACACTGGGAGGTGTGGAGGCTCCTTGTTACACTAGGTTGCGTCACATTGGGAGGTGTGGAGGCTCCTTGTTACACTAGGTTACGTCACACTGGGAGGTGTGGAGGCTCCTTGTTACACTAGGTTGCGTCACACTGGGAGGTGTGGAGGCTCCTTGTTACACTAGGTTACGTCACACTGGGAGGTGTGGAGGCTCCTTGTTACACTAGGTTGCGTCACACTGGGAGGTGTGGAGGCTCCTTGTTACACTAGGTTACGTCACACTGGGAGGTGTGGAGGCTCCTTGTTACACTAGGTTACGTCACACTGGGAGGTGTGGAGGCTCCTTGTTACACTAGGTTACGTCACACTGGGAGGTGTGGAGGCTCCTTGTTACACTAGGTTGCGTCACACTGGGAGGTGTGGAGGCTCCTTGTTACACTAGGTTACGTCACACTGGGAGGTGTGGAGGCTCCTTGTTACACTAGGTTGCGTCACACTGGGAGGTGTGGAGGCTCCTTGTTACACTAGGTTACGTCACACTGGGAGGTGTGGAGGCTCCTTGTTACACTAGGTTGCGTCACACTGGGAGGTGTGGAGGCTCCTTGTTACACTAGGTTACGTCACACTGGGAGGTGTGGAGGCTCCTTGTTACACTAGGTTACGTCACACTGGGAGGTGTGGAGGCTCCTTGTTACACTAGGTTGCGTCACACTGGGAGGTGTGGAGGCTCCTTGTTACACTAGGTTACGTCACACATGGGAGGTGTGGAGGCTCCTTGTTACACTAGGTTGCGTCACACTGGGAGGTGTGGAGGCTCCTTGTTACACTAGGTTACGTCACACTGGGAGGTGTGGAGGCTCCTTGTTACACTAGGTTACGTCACACTGGGAGGTGTGGAGGCTCATTGTTACACTAGGTTGCGTCACACTGGGAGGTGTGGAGGCTCCTTGTTACACTAGGTTACGTCACACTGGGAGGTGTGGAGGCTCCTTGTTACACTAGGTTGCGTCACACTGGGAGGTGTGGAGGCTCCTTGTTACACTAGGTTACGTCACACTGGGAGGTGTGGAGGCTCCTTGTTACACTAGGTTGCGTCACACTGGGAGGTGTGGAGGCTCCTTGTTACACTAGGTTACGTCACACTGGGAGGTGTGGAGGCTCCTTGTTACACTAGGTTACGTCACACTGGGAGGTGTGGAGGCTCCTTGTTACACTAGGTTGCGTCACACTGGGAGGTGTGGAGGCTCCTTGTTACACTAGGTTACGTCACACTGGGAGGTGTGGAGGCTCCTTGTTACATGCACCATCTCAATAACTATTATGAACAAACTGTAAATTCATGTAAATTTGTCTACTTACACAGTACACATCATGGGGAGCATATAAACCCTGCTACACATCATGGGGAGAATATAAACCCTGTTACACATCATGGGGAGCATATAAACCCTGCTACACATCATGGGGAGAATATAAACCCTGTTACACATCATGGGGAGAATATAAACCCTGTTACACATCATGGGAGAATATACACCCTGTTACACATCATGGGAGAATATAAACCCTGTTACACATCATGGGGAGAATATAAACCCTGTTACACATCATGGGGAGAATATAAACCCTGTTACACATCATGGGGAGAATATAAACCCTGTTACACATCATGGGGAGAATATAAACCCTGTTACACATCATGGGGAGAATATAACCCTGT